GCCAGGATGTAGCTCAGCGCCAGAAGCGCCTCCATAGCAAATGCAAGGTCATGAGTTCGATTTCTGGTACCCCTCAAAAAAAAATTTAAAAAAAAAAGGAAAACTATGCTTAGTATTGTGGTCTGTGCCTAGGTGTCCCCCTAAAGTCTTGTGCTGGATGGGACTTTTACAGAGGTAGCTAAAGAAAGCGCTTTCCTACCTCTCTTGCTGCTTTCACTTTATTCTATCACCGTGAACTATTGCCCTCTGCCATGTGCCACTCTGCCTTGGAGCCAGTGGATTATGGACTAAAACTTCTATAAACTGTGAGCTAAATAAACTTTTCCTTGGGGCTGGGGATTTAGCTCTGCCTCATAAGCGCTCCTACTTGGCAAATGCAAGGTCGTGAGTTTGATCCCTGGTACCAAAAAAATTAAATAGGCCTTTCCTCCTTTATCCTTGGGTATTGGGTATTTTGTATCTGCAATGAGAGAAAAGTAACTAAGACACCTACAAATTTAGAATATAGAGGGAAAATATGAAAATAAAAATAAAACTCATGTAGTATTATCACCCAAAGATAACTGCTGGAGACAGTCTGTATATGTCTACAGAAACTATATTTTGGTGTAATTCATAATTTGTATATCTTTGTTTTCAAAATAAAAGCAGAATCCTAGTCAACAGAGCACCTATAAAAAAATCTTTGGGAATAAATCATGTATACCTTTCCATATCTGTAAATAATGCTATTCACTTTCCCTGTACCTTTAGTTTGTGCTCTCATAATGTCACCTAGTTTGTAGAACTGACCCATCCTTTTCTCTATTATTATTATTTTCTTTCTCCCAGCTGCTTCTGCACAGATTCTCAGAATCATCTAAGATACAAACTCTTAGCAAAGAACATGAATTGAAAATTCACAAAGAGAAAACAAAGCTACAAATAAATACAGAAAAAAAGAAATACAAAACATTCCTCAGCTAAATTAATGCAGTTTTTAAAATGATAGTAAAACTTTCGGGGCTGGGGATTTAGCTCAGCGACATAAGTGCCTGCCTTGCAAGCAGACAGTCGTGAGTTCGATCCCTGGTACCAATTAAAAAAAAAAAAAAAAAAAAGTAAGAGCTGAAAATGATAGTAAAACTTTTTAAAGGAATAATGTATTTCAAAGCAATGTTTAAGAAAATACACATATTATATTTGTTGACTATTTTATCCTAAGGAGTAGTTAAAGATATACACAAGCCTGGGGGTTTAGTTCAGTGGCACAGTGCCTACCTGGCAAGTGCAAAGTCCTGAGTTTGATTCCCTGTACCAAAAAAAAAAAAAAAAAAAAGCACAAAAATTCTACTACTAATTCTTTATTGTGGGGTTTACTGTTCTCAAAAAAGTTGAAATAACCTAAATGTATTTCTTGATCTCGAGAGATGATCGTGTCAAGTGAATAGAAAGTTGGATAAGAAATTATACACACACCTTTATTTAAAGACTCTGCAAAAGCAAATATCTAGACTATTATCTGCATTGTACATTTCTTCATTTTACACATGCTGCTGATTTTTCTTACATAATACCTAATTTTTTTTTTGTTTTTTGAGACAGAGTCTTACTCTGTATTCCAGGCTAGCCTTCCTTGAACTCACTATGTAGTCCAGGTTGGCCTCAAACTTGTAATGATCCTTTTGCCTTTTAGCCTACTACTGAATATGCCTGCGGTGACACAGGCATGTGCCACCATACCCAGTTGGTTAATACCTAATTTTAAAATGCCTAGGCATTTGTTTAAAAACAACTTTAAATATATCCTCATATATTGCAAATAATAGTGTAACATACAGAACCCTTTTAGAAAGCATCTGGGTAAGGGCTGAGGGTGCAAGGTTCTGGGTTTGATCCTTAGCCCTGTAAGGATAAAAACTATAAGAAACCACTTGGCTGTATGTTTTTAGAGACATAAAAATTATTTATAATCAGTGACCAAGTAATACCATTTCTGGACCTTTTTCTCTTATATGGAAAAGAGTAAGTTAACAAGAATGTTTACTTGCAACTTTACAATATGCAGTAAACAGCATTCATCTTTGGGTCTGATCTTTTTAGGATTTCCCAGACTAAATAATCAGAATGACAAGCTTTCAAATTTAAGGAACTTGTTAGAGATACTGTGAGCCCCCCACTGCAGCAATTAGATTAACGGTTATGATGATTAATATCCACATAAGAAAACTGACAAAATTAAATACAAAATTCTGTGTACAGAAAAATTATGATCTACAAGAATAGTATTATAAGCCAGGCATGGGGTCACATGCCTGTAACCCCAGCACTCAGGAGGCTGAGGCAGGAGGATCATTGCGAGTTCAAGACTAGCCTGGGCTACAAAGTCGGTTCAAGGCCAGCTTGAACTGCATAGTGAGACCTTGTTTCAAAAAAGAAAAAAGAAAAAGAAGAATAGTATAAGAAAATAGTGTAATGTAGACATGGGAAAGTTGTTATGAGTCATTTCTAAATTTTACTTTCCAAACTTTTTATAGCATAGTTATTAAGGTCATAATGTACACTTAGGTGTGTTGGCACATGCCTGTAACCCCAGCATTCAGGAGACTGGGGCAAGAGGATCATAAGTTTGAGACCAGCCTGGGCTACATAGTGAATTTCCAGGCTATCCTAGACTTCATGGCAAAACTCTGTGAAAATCTACCCCCAGGACATGTGACTTTAAAATCTTGCATTGGCATTCCATTTTCTTCATTGCCCACACAATAAAATCATCATTTACTCCTACCTCATCTCCTCTGCTCAGGTCATATTAAAAACCTACAGCTACTCAAAATGCCATTCACTTTCCTATTTTTATGCTTTTGTTCTTATTCTCTCTGCCTACAATCCTTTTCATCCTTGCCTATGAGCAAGTGAACTTTTGTCCTTGAAAACTCTTGCCTTGCCTTTCTCAATCTCCCAGGATTAAGATCCATCCATCCTAGGTGCTCCCTGATACTAATTCATTCACTGCAGGAACCATCACATGTTCATTAGGTGTCAGAACCTACACCTAGCCTCTGGGTGGAATATGGTAAGGAAGATGATTGAAAACAGGTTTTGAAAAATTATTTTGGCCCATGTCTGGTGGCACATATCTGTAATCCCAGCACTTGGGAGACTGAGGCAGAAGGATCACCTGGAGTTTGAGACCAGCCTTGACTACATAGTGAGAACCTGTCCCCCCAAAAAATTACTTATCTCTTACATTTTACTCCTTATGTTGATTACTTTTCTCTCTCATTGATGGGACAAAATACCTGATTCCCAGAATTAAGGAAGGAAGGGTTTTATTTAGCTCATAGTTTGTAGAGGTTTCAGTCCATAATCAGTTGGCTTCAAGGTAGGGCGGCTGATGGCAGAAAGCAACAGTTCGTGGTGGTGGAAAACAGCAAAAGCAACAGGAGCAAAAAGGGAGGAGCAAGAGAGAAGACTTTCTGTCCCTTAGATTGTATGTAGACCACCCACCCTAGGGTGTGTATAGCACTCACAGCCATAATCTCAGCATTGGACCATGACTCAGTCACAAATTCTAAAAGCCTGCCCCCATGACTGTATGAGGCTTGGAGGGACATCCAGACACAAACCATAGTACTTTATCATTAAATTAGTCTTATCAGTTCAAAAAAGCATGCATTCATGCATTATTTTTCTTTATTGCCTGTGATCCTAGCACAATAACAAATGCAGGAAATGGTACCTATTAAGGTTTCGAATGAATGGCTGAATATAAAATACTTACTGATTTATCTTTTTTTTTTTTTTAATCAGTACTGGGGATTGAACTCACGACCGCCTGCTTGCAAGGCAGGTGCTTATGCCACTGAGCTAAATCCCCAGCCCTAAAGTACTTATTGAACCTAGTGTGGTAGTACACACCTATAATTCAGCACTAGGGAAGCAGAGACAGGAGGGTTGCCCAGAGTTTGAGGACAGCTTGAGCTACATAATGAGTTCAGAGTCAGCGAGAGCTACATAGGGAGACCCTGTCTCAAAAAAATAATCCCTCAAAACAAAGTGTTTATTAAGATATGTTCCTCAAATATCAGTATAATAACAAATTTAGGGCAAAACAAACTTAAAACCACTTGGAAATATGAATGTAGTGTTTTTATATCCTGAGATCCAAAGTCCCTTCTTAAGAGATTAGAAATTCCTGTATGCTTTCTCTGTTCTGTATGCTCAATGTAGAAATTTTCTATAGAAATATAGAAGAAGTTTATAATATAGCTACGTAGACACAGATTTCCTCATTAGTTATAATGGGGATTACACTAGCTAGGTTTGCTCAGAGATTTTTATGTTGTGCAAATTTTTCCTTTTACACTTATTTTACTCCTTTTTGTTAATATGTTGTTATTCAGTTGTGTATACACCATTCACAAAAATTTAAATGTGTGTACAAAAAATAACAAAGAAAGATCTTTAAATTTGTTTTAGAATGGTTGCTATTATGTCCTTTTGGTTCACAAACTAGAGAGTAAGGATATGGATAATATATTTCATTGGTAAGTTATACTCAATTTTATCTGTTGTAATTGTTGAATTGACAACTATCATTTAAGGACTATGTAAAATAGGGTGTAAAAGGCTATTTATAGAAGTCCTTTCTCTGGCCACCTCTCTGTTTTCAGTTTGTTTCTTTGAATGCTGTCTGATTGTGTCTAAGTCTAGGAATGTGGAAGTAGTAAAGAGGAAGTTGTACCCCATAGCAGAGAGAGAGACAGAGAGAGAGAGACAGAGAGAGAGAATAAAAGGTGGCTTTGTGAAAAAGAACAAAGGAAGCCAGAAAAAACTCAGAGAAGTTTACTCAAGGAATATGTTGTGGGAGCAATAGTCAGATAAATTTTTAAAAACTGTTTCTTAAACAGGTGAACTCTTTTATAGTTATACCAGATTACCCTTGATAATTCAACTTTAAATATCTCATTTTTTAAATCTTACTCCTTGTTATTTTTACTTCTTCTATATCTCATTAGGTATATGTGGTTGCTATGAATATTAAAAAGGAAGCTGAGTCAAAACCAAAAAGAGCAACTAAAAATACTGATGATGATGATGACGACTATGGTACCATAGATGAGCTACCGCCAGATAGTCTAATAACACTGGTACAACCTGAACTCCCAACACTTAGTCGCCTGTGGTTGGCAGCATTGAAAGACTATGCACTGTTGACTTTACCAGCTGAATTTTCTAGTCAGCTCCCTCCAGATGGTGAGTATGGCATTTGGGAAGTTGTTTTTAGGGAGTTCAAAACAATAATTAAACAAAATGGATTTGGTAGATGTTACTCTCAGCACTTTGAAGTTCTGTAGACTTAAACTGTAAAAACATGTTCTTCATATTGAGTTTGTACACTCAAGACTACAATATAAAGCTTTTTTGTTAGTGGGAGCAAAGACGTTTGTGCTGTTACAGCAACAGCTGTACGAATAGGGGTACTCTAAAGTATTTTGGATCGCAAGTCATTATACATAACTCCTGTACTGGTCAATATATGTATGTCAATATGATCTTATCCTACAAATTATTTGGATGCCTAAAGTTCTATGCAGATTGTTTATACCTTACTTTTCTTTTCTTTTCTTTTTTTTTTTTTTTTTTTTGGTCTTTTTCCTTTTTATCAGTACTGGGGAATCGAACTCATGACTGCCTGCTTGCAAGGCAGGCGCTTATGCCACTGAGCTAAATCCCTAGCCCCTTATATCTTACTTTTCTATTGGTACAGAAATCATCTTGATCATTTTTCCTGTTTAGAAAATGTATTGTCAAAAGAAAGAAAGAAAGAAAGAAAGAAAGAAAGAAAGAAAGAAAATGTATTATCAGTTTCTACTCAAGAACCCATTCTTCTTCCCATATAGCAATAATAGAGCTTTCTCCTTCCTTAATCAATCATGATAGCAAGGACAGGAAATCCTAAATGTTGGTATTAGAAACAGGAGGTGGAGAAGAATAACAGAAGAGCAGGAAAATAAAAAGGAGACACAATTTCTGGTAATGCTAAAAAAAAAAAAAAGTAGAGGTGAAATGAGGAGGTAAACCTGTGACAGCAGGGCTGGAAAAGGTACAGATGCTTAGTGGCAGTGGCAGCATGGAGGAGAGGCCCACAGCTAGCATCACCGAGGAGAGATGAGCGCTCCAGGTCAGTGGCTGAGTGAAGTGGTTAATGTGCCTAGTAGAAGCTCACTGGCCAGACTGTGCTTCTGTATGGAAAAAGTAGTTTTCAGTTAGTTATTCATAAATGAGTGAACACTTATAATAAAAGATAATGAATAGAAAATAATTTAATTGATTGTATTGTTTTACAGGTGGAGCATTTTATACACCGGAGACTATTGATACAGCCAGACTTCACTATCGGAATTCCTGGGCTCCAATTCTCCATGCAGTGGCACTTTGGTTAAATAGCACAGGATTTACATGTTCAGAGTCCACAGAAGCATCAGCAGTGTCGGGTTCACAAAAACGTTCTGCAGCTGTCAGTTTAAACCAACCATCAGGAGCAACAGCCAATGCTAAATCTTTGCCAGAAATTAATAAAGACAGAATGCACCTGATTTTAGGTAGGAGTGTCATTATAATTAGCTTCAAAATGTGTCACTTATGAAAGTTTTTTGTCTTTGATGTAATGAGCTTCAAAATCTGTCACTTATGAAAATTCATGGCTTTCAAATAATGCTATGGAAACAATTTTATATAGCACAGTTTAGATACTGAATAATAAAAAGATTTTCCAGCTAAACTTGTAAGTTAACTGAATTTGAATGTCTTTTTTTTTTTTTTTTAAACAGGGTCTAGCTATATAGTCCAGGTTGGCCTTAAACTTGTAACTCTCCTCACTCAGCCTCTTTAAGTATTGGTTTTTTAAGCATGAATGAACAACCATGCCTGGTTTTAACTGAATTTTTTAATTTAAAAGTTAGATTGTTTAGAACTACTCGTTAAATATTTTAGTTATCATATTCACTTACAGAGAAAATAACTGAATAGCCTTCACAGAAAAACCTTAATATGTTTTTTAATTCAGCAACTGGTTTTCTTTTTACTTGGTATTCAGTAGGCTCCATAAAGAAGAAAAGTTTAATCAAATTTAAGCCTGGTATGGTAGCTCATATGTGTAAACCCAGCTCACAGAGAGCTGAAGCAGGAGGTATTCAAATTCAAAGCCAGCCTGGGTTTCATAGCAAGTGCAGGGCCAGCATGAATTACATAGCAAGATCAAAAAACTAACCAGAAAGAATCCAGGCTGGGAAATGTAGCTCAGTGATAGATTGCTTGCCTGTCATGCAGAAGATCCTGGGTCCAGTCGACAGTAAAAGGGGAAAATTCAAATCCTGATTTATAATTGCTTTCTATTTGAGTCATTTGTAAGAAAATGAATGCACCTTCCTACCATAATGTTAAGTGAAATAAATCTGACAAATATATATAAATGTTTCATGGTCTCTCTTTTTTTTGGGTTTCTCTTATATGAAAAACCAAAGTATACATAAATTAAAGCACTAAATAAAAGGTAGCTAACAGAAAACAGGCAGATTAATCTTTTGCAAATGGGAAAAGGAAAGACTAAGCTAAAAGGAAGGGGAAAAGGGAGGGGAAGTTGATATAAAAAAATAGTTGAAGATTTTAGTGATCTCGTATTTTCTGTGAGTGAAAAGGAACACAGAGTATAATAATAGGGTTCATAGTAGATCTCACAAGTGAAAATGTGAAAAACTTCCAAAACTTCAACCTGTATACCTTAAGAACAGTTGTTATATATGATATCCATTGTGCCTCTGTAGTTTGCCATTTAAAAAAAATTGTGTGTAGGCTGGGTGTGATGACACACATGTGTAGTCTCAGCACTCTGGGAGGCCAAGGCAGAAGGATCACAAATTTTGAGTCTAGACTGGGAAATTTAGCAAAAATCCTTCTCAAAGTAAAAAAAAAAAAAAATTTGAAAAAAAAAATTAAATTAAAGGGCTAAGGATTTAGCCTAATATAAAGGTCTTGAGTTTAATGTCCAATACTGCAAAACAAAATACAATAAACTTTATATGTATATAAAGCTGTTTGGCAGCCATTTAATGAAGGATAATTTTATAATAAAAATTTAGTTTTAATGCACTATTATTTTTTAAAGTTCTAGAAGTAGAAAAGTGAATTATCTTGATAATCAACTTTATGGTATGGGACTTCCTTCTCCTGTGTACATCTAGTTTGAATATTAGCCTATTTGCAAAACTAGAATTTTTATGTTGAATGTGGCTGTTTGGCTTAGAAACCATTTTGAACTGTACTTTAAGGCATTAAGTATGTATTCAAGTAATCTGTTTTTATAGAGGAAATATGGCATCAAAGCAGCATAAATGCTTTATATTGAAAACACATGTGTTTATTTTGTGCATTTCAGGTGTGAGTATACAGTTTCTTTGTTCCCCTAGACCCGAGGAGCCTATTGAACATGTTACTGCATGCCTCCAGGCTCTACATACTTTGCTGGATTCTCCTTATGCACGAATCCATATTGCAGAAGATCAGGTACAGTATATTTCTATAATGCATAATTAATTATATGCTTTGTTTTAATCATATTTACCTTCATATAATTTTCTGATATAGTACATAAATGTTATGATAACTAATATTATGTATTAATTATAATGATGTTAGGTTTCAAGATTTTGACTATCAAGTTTTGCATGATCAACCAGAGCTAGATTGCATATAGTGTGTCTTTGATTTGTTCATCAGCAATCAAATAAAATTAAACATTTAAAAGGTATTTGTTACAAAGCCAAGCTACTATTGGATTTGTTATTTTTTAGTTAGGATTTTGTTTTTTAAGACTTACCAAAAGATTTTGTTTTATATTTTCAAGGAAAATATAAATTAAGACATACCAGTATCAAAAGCAAAAAGATGGTGTAGCCATATTATACACCTGCCTTTGTCTCTTTGCTAAGAGTAAACAGAAATGGTAGACCAAGATCCTGTAGAACTTTTTAAGTCTGTGACTTCCATACAGATAAAGTGCACATACACCAAGGTGGAGATTGTGGCTTGTTGATCATATCTGGACAGATAAAATCTTGATTTGGGTCATAAAATGAATTTGAGAAGTATGTCTAGCAAGGTTTTCATTCAGAAGCTCTGAAGACTCATGGTATTTTCATCTTCTTGTGCTTCCCTGAGCTACTTCATTGTCCATCAGTCTAGTCATCTTGTCCCCTTTTTGCACTTTTCTTTGTGTTGCAGAGGACTCAGCATTTCTCTTGGTGTCAGTGTTTTCTTTTAATTTATTTTGTGTTTGGACAACTTATTTTGTTGCAGCCTTTCTTGAATCAATTTTTTAATTGGGTGGAATATGTACATTTACACTCTGTTCACTGGTCCTAAAAGTATTGCACTTGGGTTTAGAATTTTCTTCAGTCTTTGATAGTTTGGCTTTTCATTATAAACTAAACTATGAACACATGACAAACACTTGGGTAATTTCACAGCAGCTGCTTCTAGGTGGTGCCCAGTTGAGCACTGACTCAGGAAGCTCATTCAGCAGATTTGTTTTAGCAGTCTGGATAGCCACAGGATCCTTCAAGTTCTGTTCCCAAGGAAGTTTCCCACATAACCGCTGCAGTATGCATTAACCAAGTAAGCTAGTAAACTCTGTTGTCCCATTACAGCCTTTTCTAGGATATTCCTGATACTACGTGTGGTTCTCCCTGGGACAGTATCTGTAGGAAAGCCCATAATTTGCAAGATAAAATGGATCTGGACTGTTTTAACTTAAAAGTAGATTTACTGTTTTTATATCACCATAAACATACTCTTTTTCTATGTATATATTCTAGTAACTCCAGCATTCAGAGACATAGTTGCAGGTTAGTAAATGTTTTAAAAATTTCACTCTGGTCTGAGAATCTATTCCTAATCTTTCCATTACCTTAAACCTGTAACTTCCTCCATTGAATTCAATCATACCAGACTCACAAAACAGAGAAAATCCTAAATAATAAAGTTGTTTGAGTTCTGTCCTCTTTCTGATAGTCTTTTTTTTTTTTTTTTTGCAGCTCTCTAATAAATTTACAATAATAACAGTAGTGGACCATTTTCTTGATATTCCACTTTTATCACATCTTGCATCTCTGTGGTGGTTATTTTTGGGGAAAGCTACTATCAATTCAGATCCTCCAGAGGAAGTCATCGTGCTCTGTACTAATTGTTTTCATTCCGTGCCTTCTGTAACCTTGCCTTCTGCAAGTGGAACAGGAAGTTTGTGTTTCTCATTTCTTCTTGGTGCTACAACTTCTGGCATCAGTGTCACCAATATCTGCCTCAGTCTCCAGTTGCTAAGGGTATTTTGTGTTTTGAGATGGGTCTTGCTGTGTAGTTCAGCTGGCCTCAAACTCACTATGGAGCCCAGGTTGGCCTTGAACTTGCTACAGTCTTCTTGCCTCAGCCTCCCAAGTATTGCTATTACAGGTGTGCTCCACTATATACAGCTAATTGGGAATTTAAAAAATTTTTCATAATAACTATCTCTTTGACGTCACCACTAGCATATAGTGTTACTTGGAGTATTTTTCCATTAAACACAGATAAAATACAAAGTTGGTATAATTTTGTTATATAAACACAGTACCTAAAAACAAAAACATATGCCATATGATTATAAAATTAATTTACTGATGGGCTTTTTTATACCCTAATCTTGTAGCCTCAGGCTGTGCCTCAGCTAGGCAGTAAATTACTACAAGAATCTTCAGGATTGTTTTCAAGTTGTTAAACATATGAAATTTAAACTGAATGAAGAGGGCTGCTTTATTTGTTTTTCATTTAACTTCTGAGCCCACCCACCGGTAATAAATTATGAGCTAAAGCTCAGCGGCATAAGTGCCTGCCTTACAAACGTGTGGTCGTGAGTTTGATCCCCAGTACCAATAAACAAAAAATTTCTGAGCCCACCACCTGAGAAATCAGGAGCAGATTTATAGACCACCAGAGCAAGCTTCCTCTGAACAGGACTTGTGTGGCAGGTGGCACCGGAATCCGTACCCCAGAAGGAGCCATCCAGACTGATCCCATGTCTGCTGTACTTAATTCAGTTATTTCAGTTTCAACATCATATCTCACACAGCTAGCTGTTTTTTATTCAGTAGTATTTTACTCAAGCACTACTTTTTAATGTGAAAAATTGATAGATTTTTTTATTGTTCTGAGTTGGAGTCTATGATTTCAACACTGTCAGGGTGTACTGACTCATTAAATTCATTCACCTAGCTACTTGTGCTCTGTGTTTGTTCTGTCTTAGACCTTGTCTTGTCTTGTCTTTCTGATAGATTTGCTATGCAATTCAGACTGTCCTTGAACTCACTTTACTCCCAGGTTGGCCTCGCAATCAGAGCATTCCTCCTGCCTCAGCGTCCTCAGTGCTGGGAGCCTTGGACTTTTTTGAGGCTGTATATATTAAAATTTATTTTCCAGACCCTGGATTAGACAATGAGTACACTGAATGGATAGTCTTGTATATGCAACATTAGATAAGAGTCTCGTTTTCTTTATATTTAGTAGAGAAGCTTAATTAGAGAGGGGCTGAAGACATGTAAGAGTATAATGGGAAACAGGAAGAGCACCAACCTTACGATAGAAAATTAAAGGACTCCTCAAAGGAGAGGCTGGTTGACTCAAATCTTAAATAGGAATTACAGAAGGGATGGGTTTTCTTCTAAGAAAGAATAGCTAGGAGGCACTGAGGCTAATGTAAATAGAGCACGTGGAGGTTTTTAGATAATAACCTGGACAATAGGGTAAAGACCAAATCATAAAGATTTCTTTATAGTATGTGAAAGAATTAGAACTCTAATCTGAAAATGATAAGAAATCAGTAAAAACGTTTAAGTAGAAAAGTGACATTATTAATTCTGTATGTCAAAAGGATCGCACTATTAAGTTCATAGGCATTGACTTTTGAGAGATGAGGAGGGAGGCAGGAAAGCCAGTTATGAGGCTCTTTTCAGAATTTCAGAGAAACACTGAATATACTAGCCTGGGAAAATTCAATAAAGGAAGAAAAAGATAGCTAATAGGGAGTAGATCTATTGTAGAAGAGAAGAGGACCAAGAGATGGAGGGAGGAAGGAAGGGGAAAGGGAGAAGAAAGAATTAAGATGTGTTAGGTTTATATATCAGTTCTCCATGAGGAATGTAATTATTATGTACTTCAAATATGCACTTTCCTCTCTCTCTGAATTGTAAACAATAGAAGTATTGAAACAAACAATAAAAGTATTGAAACTGAATGAAGGAGAAAAGGCCAAGCTTGGAACTTTGAGGATAAATAGCATTTAAAAGTTGAAAAGAGGGAAATAGGTCAGGCGCGGTGGCACACACCTGCAATCCCAGCACTTGGGAGGCTGAGGCAGGAGAATTGCTGCCAGTTTAAGGCCACCCTGGGCTACAAAGTAAGTTCAAGGCCAACCTAAATTGCACAGAGAAAAACTGTCTCAAAAAGACAAGGGGAGAAGAATAAAGGAAGTAAATCAGCAGTGGAATCTGTTGAAGAATTAGAAGGAGCTGGAGATGTAGCTCAGCAGCACACCTCCCTGGCTAGCACAAGGCCCTGAGTTTGATTCCTGGTACCAAAAAAGAAAGTAGTGAAAAAGGAAGAAGAAGAAGTAGGAGAACCGAAAGGGAAAAAAGGTATCAAAGTCAAGAGAAATTTCAAAAAAGGCAGATGGCAATATAACAAATGCAATAAATAAGGAAATAAAAGAGTCCAGAGAAAGTTATTAGTCACCATCTGCAGATTTTTGAGTGAATAGAAGCCAGATTAGAAGTCGAGAGAAAGGAAAGGATCTAAGCTGGGAAAGGAAGGAGCAGAACTGATAAAGGAAGAGATGAGAGTGTAAGGCTCTGAGAGGCTTCTAGAGAACAGGCCATTGGACAGCATCTTTGTACTGAAGAGAATACCTTAGCTGGAGAGAGACACTACAGACATGAGGTGTGACTGAAGTCCGTGAATTCCTGGAAAGTCAGTTCAGATGGGAGAAGGAGTTGATGAGGAAAGATGAGCCCTCCTTGAAGAGGAGGCTGGATACTTGATGTTACGAGAAGAGGTAAAAATGGCTGTTTGCGGTTACATTTTCTCTTCCTCTTTGAAATTTGAGGCAGGCTCAGTGAATGGATTAGATGATGAAGATTGTAAAAGCTTTAAAGTGAAAGCTTGTAATAATCACTGAGGTGAGTAGAAAAACATTTGCCAGAAATTTCTGTTGTTTCTGGTGGCTACCTCTTGGGTACTCAGGCCAAGCTGGAAATTATGAATTTCAGTGACATGAAACTCTGGGCCCAGTATTTCTTTCCAGTGGGAGAATGATTATCTTTGACTATCAAAGTTAATTAAATATTTACTGAAGTCATTAATTACATAGTCCTATACTAGTTTTAATTACAAGTTTCTTTTTTTTTACACATGTACTTTATTAGATTTTAATAATACACATTTTCCCTTTGAGAGTATATTGTGTTTGTGTTAATTTATGACAGCTGATTGGTGTGGAGTTACTGAGTGTCTTGCACCGCCTCCTGTTGACCTGGAACCCATCATCTATCCAGCTATTGGTTACTGGAGTTGTCCAACAGATAGTAAGAGCTGCTCAGGACTACCTGCAAGAAAAGAGAAGCACTCTAAGTAAGCACTGAAAATTATACTAACTTGAAATAATACTTAACTTAGTCTCTAATTTTTAAAATATTTTACTAACACCAGGAAGTTTCTAATAAAAAGGAAACAAACATTTAGAAGATATGAAGTTGATTTTTATTTCACTAAATAGGACCAAATAAAATTGCTGATAATTTGGTTATTTTTTTCTCATTCAAAAGTACCAGTTTCTTGGTGGTGGTATCTACCTGTAATCCCACCACTTGGGAGGCTGAGGCAGGAGGACTGTTACAAATTCAAGGCTAGCCTGAAGTACATAGCAAAACCCTGTCTCAAAAAAAACAGAAGTATCAGTTTAATATGGTTCAACCTACCTTAGTATATGTCATTACTGTTAGGAAATGCATTCCTAATAAAATGTCTACTAAAGATTTTCCAAGGAAAAAACAAGCTGTCTATTGCTTTGAAGAGGAAAAGAGGTGCATAAAATACTGTGTATAGAATTTCAGTAAGCCTAGAGAACTACACTGAAGGTGACATGTAGCATTATTTAGACATTTACTTACAAGAAAGAATTTAAGTGCATTTACTATTATTTTTATATACTATTTTTTCTTTTTTGCTGGAAATTTAACCAAAAATTTTGTTTTACCTAAGATGAAGATGATATGGAGAAAGAGTCTTGTGCGGTATTAGGAGAAGGCGGTGATAGTGGCGGCCTCATTCCTGGAAAATCTCTTGTGTTTGCAACTATGGAGCTACTGATGTTCATTTTAGTGCGCCATATGCCACATTTGAGTACCAAGATGTCAGACTCACCAAGTCACCTAGCCAATAAAACTCAGCTGTCAGAAGAAAGTGCTCGTTTGGTGGCAGCCACAGTCACCATTCTCTCTGATTTACCATCCCTTTGTTCACCTGCTGGTACAGTATTGATCAATATTTGAAAATGCATTCTGTTACAGTAGACAAAGATATGTTTGCCTTGAATTTTAAACATGTATAGTTAATTTTTCTGTTACATCTATATTATGAAGTGAAAGGTTAGTCTTTTTTTAAGGGATTGTTTACATGTAAGAGCCTATAAAGAACTAAGATTCACAAAACCAAAAACCTAAGATGATCTCTTCAGATATGTTGTAAGTCTGAGAACTGCAGATTAGGAGAAGATACTGAATATCAGTGAATAGATGTAACATGAAATTACTGTTCTCTAGTGTGGTAGCCATGTGTGAACAGGTTGAAGAACTAAAGAATGTGAGGAGGGTGACAGCCAGTTTTAAGGAGTACCTAAAGAAATTGGTTGTGCATTGTGGCACATGCCTATAATCCCAGCACTCGGGAGGTTGAGGCAAGAAGTTTGCCACAAGGTTGATGCCAGCTTTGACTGCATAGCGAGACCCTGCCTCAAAAAAAAAAAAAAAAAAACCCAAAAACAAAACTATGATTGGGACTGGGCAGAAGGCCTTAGCTTCAATCCCTAGCACCACAATGATAAAGAAGATAAAGGGAAGAAAAGGAGGCTAATAATAAGTTAATAACGCTGTGGATATACTGAAGAACTGTTGTAAGGAAGTACTTTCCCTTTTTTTCTTGGAAAATAAAAACAAGATCAGGTAAATTTCAGCCTAACACAAGGGAAACCTAACCTTTCTACCACTTACCTGAATGTACTAAAATAATTAGATCTCCATCTAATAGAGCTTTACCAGCTTTGTGTGAAAGAAATGAAAGCTGAACTTGAGGGCTTTACATATTTTCTGAGCCACAAAGTCTAGAATCATTTTATTTTTTCTTTACTAACCTTAATCATCTTTATTTTCCTAGCTTGATCAGATGGATTTTAGTGCATTGAGAATTGATTACATATCTTAAAATTACTCTTAAGATCCCCCTGTCTCAAGTCACTCAGTTACTTATCAATGTATTTCTTTTTTTTGTCTTTTTCCTTTTTATCAGTACCGGGGATTGAACTCACGACTGCCTGCTGGCAAGGCAGGTGCTTATGCCGCTGAGCTAAATCCCCAGCCCCAGTTATCAGTGTATTTCATAGCATTTTCCTATTTCTAAATTCCTTTCTTGTTTTCATTATGAAAAGCATGAAATATCAATTAGGTGAAATAATGGGAGTAATAAAAGCCTAGTTGAAAAAAGAAACAAAATACTAATTCTGTCTTCTTTAAGATAATACTGCACTTTCTTTTTCAAGCATTAAATTACAGTAATGCAGTAAATTTTGTATAAATACAAAAAAAAAGATAATACTAAACCACTATCAGCCACGTATAGTGGCACACATCTGTATTCCTGGCTACTTGGGAATCTGAGGCAGGAGGATTGCTTGAACTGTGGAGTTGGGGCCAGCCTGGTCAACTTAGTGATATATTGTCTTGGGAGAAGGGAAGCACAGTCAACTGTAAACATGTAAACAATGGAATTTAATATAGGAACTGAAATAATTATAAGGTAACCTGATTTGTTTTTATTTCAGGATGTATGACAATCCTACCCACAATTTTGTTCTTAATTGCAAGAATATTGAAAGATACAGCAATAAAGTCTGTAGATAATCAAGTTCCTCTGCCTGTTAGTGCAGCTCTTCAAGGGATTAAAAGTATTGTGACACTTTCTATGACCAAAACGGAGGAAACTCAAAAACAGTGGACAGCTCTAATTCGAAGCACTCTTGCATGCATCCTGGAATATTCTCAACCTGGTAATGTATTTGAGTTTTAAAAATTTAAATCAGTTAGCATACCAGTTCCCTAATTAGTTAATTGTTTGAACAACCTTGTCAGAAACCTCTGTATACTACTTGATCATTTCAGAGAAATGTTATAGTCACCTCCTTGAACTGTAATAGCCCTCTCTGAAAAGTTGAGTGTAACTGCCTTGGTCTGAGTACTTACATACATGGTGAGATTTTTAAAAAGACACTAAATGTGTACAGAATTGACATGTGTTGATATATTTATGTTTTCTTCAAGTTATTTAATAAAAATGAGAGAGAAATCAAGTGTGATCTAGATATTGCAGTATTTCTAAAAATATGTATATATTTTTATTAACTATGTGCTATATTAGTATTTATCAGTTATGTTAATATATCTAATCTAATGCGATATGTATTATATATAGAGATAAATAATAAGATTCAGCAATCATGCTCATTTTTTAATTTATACAAGCAAGCAAAATGAGATAGAAACAAACACCAAGCATATAAAAAATCAGGCACAGTTGATAAGTAAAGGAATACTAGCTGGGTATGGTGATAACACACCTGTAACCGGGAAGTTTACTGTGAGTTTGAGAGCGACCTGGCTACATTGTGAGTTCAAGCCCAGCCCGGGCAACATAGCAAGACCTTGTCTCAAAACAAACAATAATAATATAAATTAATTTTTAAAAAGAATTTAAGACCATTTTTTGCAATATACTCCAGGCCAGCCTTGAGCTCATTGTGTACTCCAATCTGTCCTCAAAATCATGATCTTCCTATCACCACTTCCCGAGTACTGGGACTACAGGCAAGTGCCACCAACTTTTACTTATACAGTAATTTTCTTTCTAAAAATATGATTATGGTCGACTAGAATTGGTACCAAAAGAACATTTTTCAGATTTTGCTAAGGGGACTTTAAAATTACAGAGACTCAATTCTGTGGGATATACAAAGAGCCTTGAAGAATGCACTCCTATAGCTGAGACCATGTCTCAGTGGCCAACCATTTTGTGCAAGGTGCCTTGGGTTTAAGAAAACAAAAGCATTTTTTATCAAAAATCATTGTTAATCAAAAATTTACATTCAGTTTTACTTACCATCAATGTATGTATTTTACAATAATAAGAGGACAAATACAACTTACCTGGCAGTGCAAAAATTATACATAACTGTATATTTAATTTGCCCAGCACTCAGGAGGCTGACGCAGGAGGATTTGTTTTGAGTTAAGACCAGTCTGGGTTATGAAGTAGGCTTAAGGCCAGCCTGAACATAGAAAGACCCTGTCTTAAAAAGACAAAAAAAAAAACAAAAAACAAAAAAACCAAAAAACCCCACAACAACAACAAACCAGACAGTATATTTAATTTGGATTATATAATCCATTCTATTTATTACATAATGTATATCATATTCATTAATATTTATAAGCAAGTATATAGAGACTAACCCAGATCAGGAAACATTAAACCTAAAATATCTTCATTGGCTGTGTTCTATTTTGTTTTGCTTGGTTTTATTCTCTTTAAAATAAAATAAATAGAAATTTAAAAAAAGAAACCTAAAGTGTCACTGGATAATAGGATTACAAGTTTTATTTTTATTCCCATACACTCGTTATATTTTAAGTAACTAAAATTATTTTAGTTTTACCGAGTTAATATTTTGCATTGATTGAGTGATTGAGACAAAGTATTACTGCATAGCCTAGACTAGTCTTGAACTCATAGCAATCCTTCTATGTCAGCCTCCTGAGTTCTGGGCCCCAAAAGAACGAAATAGTGAATAATATTGCTGGGCAAGGTGGTACACACCTATAATCCCAGCACTCGGGAGGCTGAGGCAAGAGGATTGCTGTGAGTTCCAGGCCACCTTGTACTATATTGTGAGATCTTGTGTCAAAAAACAAACAAACAACTAAAATAGTGAACACTGATATACTCTTCTCCTAGAGACATCAGTTAACATTTTATGAAACATGTTATTGTTCTTGGTATAACCCACATATCTTGATTATTATTAATTTTGTTGAAACACTTGAGAATATGCTGAAGTCATCATTCACTCTTTTCCTAAATACTGCATAGATATCCTAAGAACAAGGATAACATAACCACAGAAGAATTAACAAATTTAGACAAGCTAAAATTAATATGGTACTATTATTGTTCATTTGAAAATTTTAAAAGCTGTCCTAATAATGACTTTTATGGAACTTTTTATTTAGTTGTCATATTGCTTTAATTTCTTTAATTATTCCTTAGCCTTTATCTTTTATGACATTAATGTTTTAAAAAAAATACAGACCAACTATTTTTTTTTTTTTTTTGTGGTACCGGGGATTGAACTCACAGCCTTGTGCTTGCCAGGCAGGCACTTATGCCGCTGAGCTAAATCCCCAGCCCAGACCAACTATTTTGTACACTGTTCTCAATTTAGAACAGTCTAAATTTTTTTCTCATTTTAAACTAAATTTTTGATAGAAATACTATGTAAGTAATTTTATGTCTTTCTTGTGGCATCATATAAAGAGACACGTAATGTCTTGTCTCTATTAGGAATATTAATACTCTGTTATTAAATTTAATAACTTTGTTAAGATGATAACTTCCATGAGTCTCCATTTTTAAAGTTGCCATTTCTCTGTTTTATAATTAAGAAGGAAATGTGAAGAGATCCTTTGAGATGATCTCAATTGTCCACTCCCCACCTGAAATTTTTCACATGGTAGTTTTATTTTGTTTTGTTTTCACACAGTAGGTTTAGCATTCGTTTTTGCCTGAATCACTTACTATAATACTTTCAAAGTGATAATTTCCTGATGTATATTTTTAGTTGATACTCTTGTTCAGTCAGTATGTTTTTAAGATTGAGACACACTGGTGAAAATATTGGGGAAGGAAACAGTTGTTTGACATTGGAATTCCAAACTGTATTAGAAATAGCACTTTGCTGTCATCTTTTTCAGAGGATTCTGTGCCTGTGCCTGATGAAGTAAGCATGCTGACGGCAATTGCTCTCTTCCTGTGGTCTGCTAGTAGTGAAATAATAGGAGTCCAGTCATTACAGAGTGGCTGCATGAGCAGATTTAAAAATGCATTAAATTCATGTGACCCATGGGTAAGTTACAGTTTATCAAGAAAAGTTCAGAATTGTTTCTAAAACTGTGACACAGGGCTGGGGAGTTAGCTCAATGGCGTTAGTGCCTGCCTGGCAAGTGGGAGATCATGAGCTCGAGTCCCAGTACCGAAACAAAACAAAACAAAACTGTGATACATATAATGAAAACCTAAGTATTCATAGTATGCCTTTTAAGTGTAAAAACCTAGAAAACATTATTGTCTCTTTACTCACATATGCAGAGTATCTAAAATGTTTGTTTAACCTTGTGGCATTAGTAGAGACTTTACATGAGTCTATGATGTTTTCCAATATTTATTTACATGATAACAGACATAAAAGAATACACTTACACTACCATGTATTTTAATGAACCTATTAAAAACTCAAGAAATTTTTATTATTTTTTGGTACCAGGAATCAAACTCAGTGCCTTGCACTTGCCAGGCAGGTGCTATGCCATTGAACTACATTCCCAGTCCTCAGATTTACTTAGAAAGCATATTTTATTGTTTTACAATATCAAAGTCTAAACTAACCATTCTGAAACCTGCTATATGTATCAGGAGGAAAATAAAACCTGTTTGGGAACATTGCTGGTCACTACCAGTAGCTTCCTGAATTAGTCTTCAGATTTGTAGCTCAGAGATCTATATTTTTAAAATGTTAATACCAATGTTAAAATAGTATTTCTGAGCCGGATGTGACAGTACACTCCTGTAATCCTAGCACTTGGGAGGCTGAGGCAGGTGGATTGTGACAAGTTCGAGACCAGTCTGGGCTACAAAGTGAGTCCAAGGCCAGTCTGAACCACATAGTGAAACCCTGTGTTAAAAAGACAAAAAAAAAAAAAAAAGTATTTCTGATTCCAGTGAAGTTTGGCAGTTTGTGTTCTACCAAAGCACTGAAACAATGTTATTCCACTATTTATCCCATATTTTGATGAGATGTTCTTCATTCTTTTATTTTTTTCTTCTGTTGAGACAGGGTCTTGCTATGTGGTTCAGGCTGGCTTTGAACTTACTGTGTAGCCCAGGCTGGTCTCAAACTCAGAGCAGTCCTCCTGCCTCAGCTTCAAACAGTGCTGAGATTATAGGTGTGTGCTACACACCCAGTTTAATGCATTTTTATAGGTCTTTGTTTTCTTTCAGAACATTCTAATAGCCAACATCTACTATATTAGGTTAAAATGAGAGAGAGATAGTTGTCCATTATAAGGAAAATTAAAAACAGAAATTGGAATTCCTGGTTTCTTACTCTTCCACACTGTAGAAATATGTGAATTAATTTCTTTCCAATTTTTCCTTAGCTTTTCAAAGTTTCATTCTCCTCATGTCTCTTAGTGGAAAATGATACCTCTATCTTCATCCTGCAGTGTCCCTTCTTCTTCTTCTTTTTTTTTTTTTTTTTTTTTTTGGCACTAGGAATTGAACACATGACCTCATGCTTTCCAGGCAGATACTGAGGGCCGCTGAGCTATATCCCTGGCCCTCCTTCTTTTCAGTAGGTATTCAGATGCAATATGATTGTTAAACATTTTAAAAACTGTTGTACATATTAACTGTAAAATGATTTTCTTGTATAGGTTCAAGCCAAGTGTTACCAGCTTCTCCTCTCAGTCTTCCAACATTCCAATCGTGCCCTTTCAACGCCCTATATCCACTCATTAGCACCAATAGTGGTTGAAAAGCTAAAAGCTGTTGAAAGAAACAGACCAGCCAGTAACACAGAACTTTTAGCTGTTCAAGAAGGAATTAAAGTTCTTGAAACATTGGTTGCTCTAGGTGAAGAACAAAACAGTAAGTATTTTCTTTAAAAAGCCACTAGTTCACCTGGGTTAGGTCATGAATACCTGGAATCCCAGCACTCAGGAGGCTGAGGCAGGAGAAGCACTACTAATTTGAGGCCAGCCTGGGCTACACAGTGGGTTCAAGGCCAACATAAACTAGTGAGTCCCTGTTAGTAAAAAAATAAGCAAGTCACTAGTTCACAGTGCAGTTTTGCATTTTACATTTTTAGCTTGTTTAATTGTATACATGGATGGACTTTTGAAATAGTAATTTTACCAAGTGACAGTTGCTATCTGAAAGTATAATATATTTGCTTATGTTACTAGTATAATTATTGATGTATGTATTTTTTTGATTTATGTATTTTTTGGTAAGGAAGTCACAATGAATTACTGATAGCATTTCAACACTGATTTTTTTTTTTAACTTTTTAGGAATGGATTCTTTAAGAACTATGAATTACTGATGGCATTTCAACATACTGATTTTTTTTTTTTTAACTTTTTAGGAATGGATTAAGAACTGGGGAAAGGGGCTGGGGATTTAGCTCAGTGGCATAAGCACTTGCCTTGCAAGCAGGTGGTCGTGAGTTCGATCCTGGGTACCGATAAAAAAGCAAAAGAACAACAACAACAAAAAAAAGCAATGGGGAAAAATGCTAGACATTGTGGCACATGCCTCTAATCTCAGCTCTTAGGAGCCTGAGGCAGGAGGATTTCCACAAATTCAGCCTGGGCTGCATAGTTTAGGGCTAGTCTGAATTGTGTAACCATGAGACCTTCTCTTGAACAAACAAACAAAAAACTCAAAAATATAGATGTTTGTTTGTTGTTTGTCCATTTGGTTTTGTTTTTATATAATACTCGAGTTTGAACTTAGAGCCTTCACACTAAGCTATCTTGCCAGCCTGTTGTTTTTTTTTTAATCGGTGCCAGGACCGAACTCATGACCGCCTGCTTGCAAGGCAGGTGCTTATGCCGCTAAACTAAATCCCCAGCCCCCCACCCTTTTTTTTTTTTTGTCTTTTTCATTTTTATCGGTACCGGGGATCAAACTCACGACTGCCTGCTTGCAAGGCAGATACTTATGCCACTGAGCTAAATCCCCAGCCCCACCTTTTTTGTTATTTTGAGGCAAATTTTTAGTAAGTTACTAAGTTGTCTAGGCTAAACTTGAATTTACAATCTCCTACCTCACCTTCCCAACATGCTTAATAGATTTTTAAAATGACACATTCTGCTCTTCATATCAGAGGTATAAAAGCCATATAACAAATACATCTAGTTCAGTATGAATACCAAACATCATTGTTAAAGTACCTCAATTTTTTTTTCTTTCTTTCTTTCTTTCTTTTTTTTTAATCAGTACTGGGGATCGAACTCACGACTACCTGCTTGTAAGGCCGCTGAGCTAAATCCCCAGCCCCAAGTACCTCAAATTTTAACATTTCTTATCTAATGGAAAACCACCATGTACATCCATTTAACCAGATTTATACAGTTTAATGTATACTTTTTTCCCTTAATAGTTGTTTTTATTTTATCAAGATATAATTTGTCTTTAAAAATATGATTTGTAATTTTTATAAAAAGAATAAATTTTTAAATTAGTATCTTAAGACTATATACCCCACTTTTCAAGATTCTCTTCCTTACCTGTCCTCATAGTAAATTTAATTTTAAATTAGTGTGCTTCTTTAGGAGTTGATTGAGTTGATTCAACTCAAGAATATTTTAAGTACTAAATCTGGCATAGTGGTACTTATAATCTCAGTATTCTAGGATACTGATGAGGAGATCACAAATTTGATCCTGATCTAGGAATTTAACAACATATTGAGACCCTTCTGGGCTATTCGTTCATACCCTATCTAAAAAAAAAAAAAAGAGATGGAGGATGTAGCTCAATGATTGAGCACTTGCCTAGCATGGATTTAATCTGTAGCCTACAGGAAAAAAAGTGTGTATGTAAAGTATGTATATGTAAGTCTAAAATACTGCCTTGAAGTTAAATGTAGTCATTTATTTGATAATCCTCCTAATAATGTTTTATTCCTTAGTGCAGACGTTTACCTTTGTTTGCTATTGTTGTTTTGTGGTTGAGGGGATTGAACCCTGGACCTTGAGGTACTAGACATTACCACTGAGCTATACTTCTAGCCCTGTGTTTTGCTTTGTTTTTGCATGACATTTAGCCTTAGATTTTAATTTTTTAAAAAAGCCAATAATATTCTTAAATCAGACCAATCTTTGTTTTCTTTGTTATTTGCAGGAGTCCAGTTACTTGCTCTTTTAGTTCCCACTTTGATCTCTTACCTGCTGGATGAAAATTCTTTTGCCTCAGCAAGTTCAGCTTCCAAAGATCTTCATGAATTTGCACTCCAAAATTTAATGCATATTGGACCTTTGTATCCACATGCTTTCAAAACAGTAATGGGGGCTGCTCCTGAGTTGAAAGTACGCCTGGAAACTGCTGTTCGAGCAAGCCAAGCAAGCAAAGCTAAAGCGGCTGCCAGGCAGCCAGCCCCTACCATACATTCTACACCAACAATTAAGCTAAAAACAAGCTTCTTTTAAGGTGTTTGTCTGTTCTTTTTTAGTTGTATTTTAATCTAATTAGTGATAGCCACTAACCATTCCAAGCTATAAATTGTTTTATTTGTATATTGATATTATATTGCTTTCAAGGAGGTTAAGTGAAACAATGTTCACATTACTTACTCATTTCTAAGGAGTGATGCTTTAAAAATCATGTGGTCAATGTATTTTCACTGTCCTCTCAATAATGTTTCTATTTAATTGACTTTCTGTTGTTGTTGTTGTTGTTGTTTTGGTTGCAAGAATTGAACCTAGGGTCTTGTGCATGCTAAGCATGTGCTCTGACTACCAACCTCTCCCCCCGGGCCACAATTTATTTTTTAAACACTGAGCCATAATCTTTTTAAATTTAAATGCCAAACACATAATTGTGTCATGTAGTAGGCAGCCTATAGATGTTATCAGGGAAAAAAATAGATGAAAATTCAATATTTGACATAAAAAATTGCAATTAAAACCCAAGCAGGTTTTCAGTTTTTACATAACCAAAATAATAACAAGTCTGTTTCATGGTGTATATTTATATACTATGAATAAAATAACATTTTCTAAGCATTTCCCTAAATATCCTTATCTTTCTGATGGGTTTTTTTATTTTCATATTACTAAATTTTGCGGGTATATAACTTAGTTATTAACTGAATTACAATTTTCACTTAAAGATTCATTAAAGTCTTTCAAATGTAGAATAATGTTCTACTTTTTACTAATGGCTAAAATTTGTCATAAGTTTTGTTTGGTAATTACAGAGCTTTGGGTTCTGCCTATGCGGTATTAAATGTTTATTGAATACCTACTGTGTATAGAATCAAGCTAAGGGCATACGAAAATGAAGTCATAATTATAGTTATGCTAGTCTCTCATGTAATGAGAATTTTACATGCAAAATAGATAATTGATGAAATGGATGTTTGCTATCGCATTTAGCAAATTTTAAACACCAAATTTTACCAGGTAGTGTAACACTGAGTATATTAAAAGCAAGTTACTTTTCTGGCCATCTAAAATGTGAGGCTGCCTGTGGGGATATACGCCTCTGATCCCAGCACTTGGGAGGTTGAGTCAGGAGAATCTTGAGTTTGAGCCTAGCCTGGGCAATAGCGATTTAACAAGATCAATTTCAAAATTTTAAAAAATTATATAAAAAAGAGCTGGAGATGTAGCTCAGGGTTAAGATCCTGAGTTTAATGTCCAGGACCATGGAAGTATATAACCTGCTATTTATTCTCTTACACCCACATCAATTGATAGCCTTTGTTCCTCAGTCCTTTAGATACCTCAAAAAGGCACTTTCTCTCATGTGTTTTATTTTCTATAAGGTATTTTATTTCTGACTTGGGTTTCATAGTTCTCCCTTTTTATTTGTTTTTATTTTTGGTAAAAGTCTATTAAGTTAATTCACATATTCTACAATTCACACATTTAAAGTGTCCATTTCAGTGGTTTTTAGTTTATTCAGAAGGTACTATAACCATCATCATGGTCAATTTTGAACATTTTTATTGTCGCACATAGAAACCCCACAACTGTTAGCTGTCATTCTCACAAGTCTCACGTTTTCTCCCTAGCTTTTCACTATAGAACTTATTATTGTGGACATTTCATATGCTACATAGCCTCTTGTGCCTGGCTTCTTGACTTCTTGCTGTATCATAAATCAGTACAACATTGGTTTTTTTATGGATGGATAATACTGCGGTGCATGCATAGCACATTATTTATCCATTCACAAATCCATTGGGTTGTTTCTACCTTTTGACTGTTAGGAATACTGATACTCTGAACAATTATATACAAGTTTTTGTGTGGACACATTAGGGAGAGGGGACACCAGGAATTGAACCTCACACTTGCTAGGCACATGCTGTGCCACTGAGCTAACTCTTGGTCCCTGAACATATGTTTTAAAATCTTTTCAGAGAAGAGAATTAGGAAGTAAAATTGTTGACTCAGATATTAATCATATTTTTTGCACACATGCATGTATGCATATAACTCCTTTCCATTCATCTATTACTACAGTATTTATTTCTGCCTTGGCTATTTTTTTTTTTACTTGTTACCTTCTAGGCTTTTCTATCATTTTTTAAATAGGATACACTATGGCATGTGATGTTTCTGTTTCTTTTCTTCTCTCCCTTCCTGTTTTCTGTGGTCTGTCCTTTTTCTCCTCTTTCTTTCTGGTTTTTTTTTTTTTTTTTTTTTTTTGGTACTGGGAATCTGATAACTGTGTGCTGCTGAGCTATATCCCTGGCTTTTTTTCTCCCTCTTTCTGTTAGTACATCTTTATACTTTCTCTAAACTCTTTCTACTGACAATTTACCTTCTACTTTTCTATAGTTATGCTAAAAAAAGAAAATCTGTTTTAATATTTATAATCAATTTTACTGCTTATCAAGAATTTTTTTAAATCTGAATACACGTGTTTGACTGTGATCATTCAGTGTCATGAATCTGATAGGAAAACATCATTATAGCTAGTAGATAATGAAGCATAATCTGATTGGTTTTAGTTATGTAAGAAATAAAGTATCTGCTCTTTGCTTTACAAATTCTCATAAATCAATAGTATACATTTGAATTCTCAATTTGACTAGAGAATAAGTTCAGAAGTCAAGAGGTTCTACCATCAGTGAGGGATAAATCTTTGGACTCTCAACACTGTGAGGCTTCACTGTTCTTGTTTTGTTTTGTTTTCTGAGACAGGGTCTCACTATGTACACCAGGCTGGCCTCAAACTGGCAGTAATCCTCTTGCTTCACCCTATGTGCTGGGATTTCAGGCACATGCCACCACACCCAACTCTGTTTTCTTATCTATAAAGTTGAAAGGAAAAGTTTTGTAAGTATTCTGTCTGATCTTCTGCATATCTAAAAAGGACATCTGTATGTATATGTCCACTTTTACCAAGTAAATGAATCTTTGCACAATCCTTTTAAACTGGCATAAAGGGGCCAGGGGTTTAGCTCAGTGGTGTAAGTACCTGCCTGACAAGCCTGAGATGGACATTCAATCCCTGGTACCAAAAAAAAAAAAAAAAAAAAATAGTTTTCACATGTGGATAAAATTGCCACCATAATATGACAGTATAAAATATATCAAATGTATAATGTAGGCACAGAAGTTAAAATATTGTAGTTCCTTATTATCAGTAAGAACTATTCAGGCATTGTATTAAACATTTGATAACTAACATTTCTTTTTATTCAGACAATGTCAGTAATGGATATGTTGTCTGATTCCAAAACATTTAATCAAATGGGTTACTATTCACATTTTTTCATCTTAATTGGGATTTTTAGACTGATACCAGAATTGACAGAATATAGTTATAAATAAAAACTCTTGACCAGGCATAGTGGTATACATCTGTAAGCCCAGCACTTAGGAGGCTGAGGCAGAAGAATTGCTGCCAGTTTGAGGTCAGCCAGGGCTACATAGTGGGGTCAAGGCCAGCCTGAACTACATAGTGAGACCCTGTCTCCAAAATAAGTAAGTGAATAAAATTCTTGTCTTAATGTTTTGCATCAGTTTGCTTACTTTTAAATCTTATTATAAACCCATTTCTAGTTCTGACTTATCTGAAAACTTTTATAATTTATAGGCTTTATAGAATTTTACTTCAATAAGAATTTCATGTCAACTGTAATTTAGAGTTACCCTAAGCTGGTTTTGATGCTGTCACTAAATATATATGTGAGGGAAAAACAAATATGTGAAAATCATGCATTTTACCATTTTACTGCTTTAAAGTAACAGTTACAACTGTCTTTTCTTTTCCTAGTAGAAAATATATTCATTTGTCCCCTATCCATGATTCTTTTTTCTTCTTTTTTTTTTGTCATTAGAACTTGTGGGTTACTACTTCAAGCACATTATTTTTATACACATATACTTCTTTTACTCTTTCCCCCTTTCAGTTCTAGAATTAAAATTCTAAGAATCCTGGGAGGCTGAGGCAAAAGGATTGCCACAAATTCCAGGCCAGCCTGAACTACATACACAGTGAGATCCTGTTTCAAAAAAGCAAAAACCAAAACAACCAAAAAATTCAAATAATCCATGAACATTTAAGGACACTTAAAAACTTTGACTATTAATCTCTTTATGTCTCTTCTATTTCTAGTTATATAGGAAAATGCTTCTCATTTCATCTGTGAAACAAAAAGTATTCTAATCTGGTCTGAGTATAAAGGTAGAGTTAGAGAGCCACGTGTGGTGGCGCACACCTGTGTTTCCAGCAGCTCCAGAGGCTGAGGCAGGAAAAGTGTTTGGAGTTTGAGACCAGCCTGGGCTACAAAGTGAGCTAACACCCAGTCTAAACTGCATAGTGAAACCCTGCCTCAAAAAGCAAAAAGAAAAGGAATAAAGGCATTTATGCCTTGTAAGTTAATCAATTTTAATCATAAACTTGCCAGGCAGGGGCTTATGCTGCTGAGCTATATCCCTGGATTAATGCTTACTTTTTAATAGCTACTTTATGTATCATTATTGACAGCAGCTCTTACATATTTGGGTGCATTGTTTCTAATTTTCAGTTTAATAATGTTGCATTTGACTTTTTAAAAATAAAATTAGTGTACCAGTTTCCTAAAAGGATTATAAATATGACAGGTTTGAATTTTGATTGATTGTTGTAGGAAGCATTATTTTTTGGAGTAAACAGACATGAAAATAATATTGGGTCATTGTTCTAACTCCAGGAAAATGGCTGGGAGACCTCTTAAATTGTCACAGATATTCTTGATGTTGAATTTGTGGCCTTCTTGACTCAGCCTCCCAGAGTGCTGGGATTACAGGTGTGGACCCCTATGGCTGGCTGACCATAAGTACTTTGATATACCTAAACATTATATTTTGATATACCTACACATTACATTGTGTTGGTAGCATTTTAGTTGGCTATGTGTTTTTAAGGAACTAGTCAGAAAGTTTAATGGAGTTTGAGCTGGTTTTGGTGAAAATACAATTATTGACACTACTGCTGTGCTACTGTGACTCCTCTATGTGTCTGTGCTGAGCGAGTTTGGGATCAGACTTGTCAAGGATGATGACAAACCTGTGAGCAAACCTGTGGGCCCAGGTGACTTAGGGCAACATGATGGTTAATATTTATGTAGAAGGACCCTTAACCAACACGTCAGTGTTTCCAGTAAGTTGTTTGCAATTGAACATAAAAGAGTTTTCAAGCACAGGGCCAGTGGTGCAATGGATAATGGATCAGAAGAGTTTCCAGCCAGGTATAGTGGTACATGCTTGTAATCACAGTCCCAGTAATCTGCGAGGCTGAGACAGGAGGGTTGCAAGTTTCAGTGCAACTGAAGCAATTTAAACACCCTGTCTCAAAAAAACAGTTCTCTAAGATATTTAAAAACAGAATATTCCCATATGATGGTACATTGCTTAATACTAGACATGTTCAAGAAGAATGTGAATTTCTGTTTGCCAAAATTTTTGTGAAATGATTCTTTAATACTTTTTCTTTATTCATCAGACAATTCGTATACTTTAGTATGTGGGCTGCCAAAGGGAGCACATGGACAATTTACGTATGCTAGATACAGGGAACATAATACTGAACAGTCAAGCAGAGAATTTGCTATCATAGGTTTGCATTAGACAAGTTAGTAAAGTAATGACAGACTGGTAAGTAGAAGGAAACAGTGTAAAGAACGGCACAATGGGGCCGAGGATATAGCTCAGTGGCCCAAGTGCTGCCTGGCAAGCGTGAAGTCATGAATTCAATCCCCCATACCAGGGGGAAAAAAGGCATAGGATGGCATGAAAGGAGAGTTACAAGGTTGGGGATATAGCTCCGCTGCACAGCGTCTGCTTGGCAAACTCAATTCTGCAGATTTGCACCCCAGTGCCAAAAAAAAAAAAAAAACTAGTAAGGGTTCCATTTTAAAGCAGGCAGGAGCTCTAGCCTCTCTGCACTTCTCACATTTACATATGTGACTACCTACTTGTTGATTGGAGACTCCTCAATTTAAAATTTAACTCATCGCTTTATTTAAAACCTGCTTTTCAAACTCTAATCTCCCAAGAAACAGCTTAATTCCTCTGTTGCTAAACCATACATTTTTGATTCATCACTAACACTTCCCACTTTCTTCCTCACTCTCCATCCATCAGTAAATCTCTTCAGTTTTAAATCGTTCCAGATGTAGGAGGGTATGGTAGCAGCAGTAATCCTACCCTCAGGGAGTTCAGGGCCATCCTGGAATACATACCTGCCTCAAAAAACCAAGATAGAGTCAGGGATATAGCTTAGCAGCACAATGCCTGCCTGGCGAGTGTGAGGTCCTGAATTTGATTCCTGTGCCTCCCCCTAAACAACATAATAACTCTTCCGTGTATCTTTATTGCTTTTTAGTTAGTTACCTTAGCATAAGGACTAACTCTTTCATGGAATCCTGGAGGCCTGCATAATCTGACTCCTGCTTTCCCCCCTCCTCAATCTATATCATATTGCTGTCTATTACCAGGTGATAGTGCCCTTAGTTGCCCTGCGAAGTTAATGTTAGTAATTACCTCCTAGGGACACCAGACTGTATTCATGCATATAAAATGCATTTTTACTGAATTTACTGAACATTTGTTCAGTAAGTGTTAGTGTACAAGAATTATTACTTTTCATCTTGCTCTTTATGTGTTAAGCATAGTAGGGTTCTTTCACTTTATCATATACACTATGATACTTTTTGTTCCTGAAGTATTTGAATCTTGCTTTAAAAACTCCATTCTCAAAAAACAAAACAACACCAAAAATACCCAGTCTCTTCTAGTTAATTTTTGTTCATGTATTAATCTGGTTACTTTTTTTTGTTTTTTGCACCAGGGATTGAACTCAAGACCTTGCACTTGCCAAGCAGGCATGTATGCCACTGTGCTAAATCTGTGGTCCTTAATCTGGTTACAATTTTATAAAAATGTTGCAGCATTAATCTGGCTAGTGTCACATACCAAGAACCATGTTATTTAAATTGTTTTTGCTCTTATAGTGAATTTGTATAAATCTCTTCCTTAAGTTTTAATATAATCAGCTCATATAAATATTAAATTTATGTGGCAGAGTCTGTGAGCTCGTCAGGCCATTTCTACTCTCCTACTCTTGTTATTCCAAGTCCTGCCTCTGAGGGGAAATCTGGGAAAGGAGATAACACAGATAATGGTAGAATTTTCCATTACACAAAGCAACTGCAGCTACTATATTTAACACATATCGAACAACAGAAGCATATTGAGAGTCTGCAGAGTCGAGGGGAAAAGATAGACTACATGAAGAATAGGTTAAAACTTGTAAGAAAAGCATGGGTCTTCAAAAATGTAAGCAAAAATGTGTTGAACTCCTCCACTGTATTTGTGGGGAGTTGGTCCATGTATACATCTTTTTAAAATCCACTTTCCCAACACCACCTTTCCCAATTACCACTCAACATTTTGACTCATTGATGTTTTCATGATTTATATCAGTACTATTTTGGGTATAGAATCCTTGAAAAGTTAAAGTATTCTGTAATACAGTGGTCAAGAGTATACATGTGTCATATAATCTACGTGGACTGACAAATTGTATTTATATTAGGGAAAATAGCTCTCAACATTCAAACTAGTCAGATTACTTAAACGCTTCAGATGAAAAATGCAGCCAGGAGCAGTGGCACATGCCTATTATCCCATCATTTTGGAAGGCTGAGGCAGGAAGATAAAAAATGAAGCCAATTTGGCAATTTAGTAAGATCTTATCCCCAAACAACAAAACTTAGAGCAAGTGGGGAGAGTGACTCTGGGTTCCATTCCCAGCGATCCCTACTCCGCTAAAAAGGTACCAGTGCATTATTGTCTCCTTGGTAACTAGTTGATCTAATAACAGATAAGTGAAGCTGGTATTAAAAAGACTACTTAACCAGCAGTCAGGAAAAATCTGGGTACTACTTATCCTTTTGCCACTCAACGCCTCATTGTGGCCAACTCTCAGTTCCTTTGGAGTTTTGTATACTGAGCTGGAAATGAGAGGATGGGTCTGTATCTCAAAGAACACTTACGGCCAAAATAATTCGGCCAGACCCGGATCAATTTTGTATGATAATAAATGAATTCACAAATCAGAAACAATAACTGGGAAAGCTTGCTATCCTCATTCGTAACCAGAGCAGATACAATGTGTTTCCTGTTCTTTCCACAAGCAAGCATGGGGAGGGGCAGGGACAGGATGTCCTTCCCTCAGCACCCTCGCTATATCCCCCCCCCCCATCATGTCTGATGTCCCCAAAGCTTATCTCACAAAAGGATTATGAAAACAGTCACCAGTAGATATTGGGCCTAGGATCTCAAGACAAGAGTGCTTGCCTAGCAAGTCTAAGACCCTGGGTTCTACCCCAACACTGCCTGTGTGCGTGTGCGTGCTTTTGTACTATTCTAGTGGCAAAAACTGGGAATAGGACAAGTGAAACAGGGAAAGGTCCCTGGATACCTAAAAAAAGCCTGGAGCACAAAGGGACTTTTTTTTTTTTTTTTTTTTTTAGTGTAGCTTGAGGACACTGTAAGACTTTGCCCGTCTCTTTTTGATGACAGGAACTGTGTCATCTATCATGCAAGCAGCGCGGGATATAACCTACAGTGAAAGTATTGAGTTCAGTAAAAACTGCCTAGGAATGATAGAAAAAACGAGACCTCTACCCCCAAACAAACAAAAAGCAAAACACTCTACAGAGCATTTCCTGAACATCTGAAACTTTAAAATCGGCTGTTAGATTACTACAAAGGAACAGCGACTTTAGTTGTTTCCAGATAATTATCAACAAACCACAATTTGAAGAAGCAGCCCCGGTAAGTTGCTGTGTTGAACCTAGCAGGGAGATGATCCAGCTCCTTATAAATGAAAGCTCATCAGGCAGCAGACTTAAATCCCTTGAGTAAAAAAAAAAAAAAAAAAAAGGCAGGCTCGACAGAGACAATCGGCAGAGCAGAGTGTTTAGAATCAGCCGAAGTGAGCGCCGACTGGAGAACCCCCATCCCGCGGCTAGCCCTGACACTAGCTGGTTTCTTAACAAAATGATAAGGAGCCTCTAAAAACATAGGTAGCTCGGACTGGTATTCTGGCGTGTTAACTTCCGTGTGTATGTGTGCAACACGGAGCGCAGTCGCAGAACTTCCGCGTGCGAACCGCCCGCATCGCGGAGCCCCGCCCCTCCGGCCGGGCGGAACCCGGAGCTCCCGCCCCTCCGCCCCAGCTCGGCAGGTTGGGGGCGGGGCCAGAGCCACGCCAGAGCCTGGGCGCAGCCCCACAGGCCAGGCACGCCTCGCCCCGCCCCCGACTACATTTCCCAGCAAGCCTCGGGCGGCCGCGCGCCGCAGTTGACCCACTTCCCGGCCCGTCACGGGCTCGGCCGGCCCCCGCGCCCAGGCTGCTGCTCTCTGCTGACTGGGGTGTGGGCGGGGAGCGGTGGAGGGAGGAGGAGGTGCTGCTGGCCGCCGCCGTTGCCTCCTCTGCTGGGCGCCCAGGCAGTTCCCTGGGTTTCTGAGGCCGCCATGGACGAGCAGGCGGGTCCCGGCGTCTTCTTCAGCAACAACCACCCGGGCGCCGGCGGTGCTAAGGGACTCGGGCCTCTGGCTGAGGCTGCCGCGGCCGGCGATGGGGCAGCTACGGCGGGGGCGGCCCGAGCTCAGTATAGCCTCCCGGGTATCCTGCACTTCCTGCAGCACGAGTGGGCCCGCTTCGAGGTGGAAAGAGCCCAGTGGGAGGTGGAGCGGGCGGAGCTGCAGGTAAAGACCCTCCCGGCCTGGCCCTCTTCATCCCGCCTCTTCGCTCCCTTCCGCCCCGCCCCGGACACTCTCCCCCTCCCCCCAGCCCGCGCGTCCTCTCCTGCTGTGAGCGCTCCCATCCCACCCAGCACCGCATCTCTGTCCCTCTTCACCTTTGGCTTTGGCTGACCTCACTTCTTTCACCTGGGTTCTCACTACCACTCCTAATGCGTTGTTTACCTGTCCGCGCCTATTCGTCTGCTGCTTTCCACTTAACTCCCAGTCTCAGTGCAACTCTCTTGCCATGCAAGAGAGTTAAAGGCGTCCCTTTAAGTTAACTAATTGAGATGACAGTACTTTTGAGAGACGCTGAGCAAATCATCCTGTCCTAGCGTGCCCCATTCTAGGTTAGTGACATTCCCCACAAGAGACACTGGCAGTTGGCTCCTCAGTCTGCAAGGGAAGGTGATCCAAGAAGACAACATCAGTTGTGTCAGTGAGGCCCAGTAACTCACTGTGGACAAAATAGCATTAGAAGTATCAGCTCACCTCCCTTTTTATCTTTGTAAAGGTTTCAGCTGCACCCTTTCCCACCCTTTCCCCTTTGCTTTCTCAACTTTTAGATTCTTGGAGTTTGAATGAAGGACCTCGATAATCACAGTCAAGATAATGGGTTCAGACATAGTTACTGTTCTCAGTTGTAAAACTTACCAAGAGTTAATTTTTATGTTCCGTGTTCTGTAAGATTTGATAGATACTTTTAAAGAACTAGCTTCCATGCTAGTTACATTCTCTTGCATAAATTGCCGGATAAAGTACGTCCAGAGAGGAGCTATCGTGGACCTTGAAAAGAATGAAAGTAAATTTAAAAGGCCATTCTAGGTTGGTGAAGTGGATTTTCACAGGCTAAGTGGGTTGTTCTTAAAACTTATACACTAATTCCAGGAGAATTTACAAGTATGAGCGGTTGTGCCTTTCTGTTTTAGGAGATAATCCTGTATCCTTATGAAATTTCAGTCCAGTTTTGGTTTGTGAAGCATTTGAAGTTAAAATGCTACCCATTGTGCTACTTTTTTTGGTAACATCTATTTTCTTTGGCACTAAAAAAAAGAGAAGAAATCTGTTAAATAGAATCGTGTGTTGAAACGGACTGGTTTGGTGGAGTGCAAAGGGCTGTGGGAAGAGCAAACAGGCACGGTTATATAGCAGACAGGGTTATATTTCTGTGCTCTTGAGGAAATCCTTTGACCTCTCTATACTTCAGCTTCATTATTTATGTACCAGCCATCTTCAGTCTGGGGTAAGGATCAACAGAATTGACAAAGTTTTGTCCTTACTGGGTTTATGTTTTAGTTGGAAGGCGAACAGTCAACAAATGTAGCTGTATAATGGCTATGGTAGCAGCTGCCGTGAGGGGAAAATGTCAGGGTACAGGAGTATGATAAGAACAACTTGTTTTGTTTGAGACAGGATCTCAGCTATATGTAGTTTGGTCTGGCCTGGAATGCGCAGCAGTCCTCCTGCCTCAGCCTTCAGAGCCCTGAGATTTGCAGCCACCACACCCAGCAACAGTTTTTAGGTGGGGTGGTCAGACTCTGATGGTGGGTGAGCAGTTGAATGAAGTCTACCAGAGACCCATAGTTAATGATTTCTTGTGAGCGGGTATGTCTAGTTATGTTTACATTCTTTGGCAACTTTTCCATTCCTGTTATTATATTGCTTTGTTTAGTTGGTATTTCTAAGTTTTCTCATAATGAACTGATCATGTCTATAGTACCTAACATTTATATGCTTCAAACCTTCATTTTTATTAGCAATGTATTCTGTAAATGAGCATGGGGGATTTAGGCTTCAGAGAAGTGTAAAAAGCAAATTTGCTTTAAAAAAAAAAAAACTTTAATGTTGTATATTTGTGGAAAATGTTTTTGTATGTAGGTGCTTAAATTATAATTTTGTTTCCAGTTAAGGAAAGGTAAAATCTTGACCTCACTAATTTGGTCAGAAAACAGTACTTACATTTCTACTTGGTGAAGGAATTTGAGAATTTCTAAGTCACCCTGTATCTGTGCATCCACTTCCCTCACGCTTAAGTGTTTCCATTTACCAGTAAATGTTGTCAGTCCTCAATTTTTTACATTCAAATTTTAAGCTTCAGGTTTCCCATTGGTGCTTATATATTAAAGCCTTTTGGTTTTTGCTAAAATTAAATTAAGCTTCCATGGAGAAATTTAAAAGCTGTGTTGTGTTGTCTTCCTTTTTCTGTAGTACTAGTGTTCTCCCACTAAGTTGCATCATGCGTGCCTCCCCCTTGAGATCCTCCTGCCTCAGTCTCCAGAGTAGCAGGGATTAACAGGCTTTCACCCCACACAGCTGACTGTGCTGTATTTTCTGAACATAATAAATATTGTGCATTTTTTGATGGGTGGGGCGGATTTTTAATAGTCTATATTTTTTTCCCTGTGTATTAACAGAATTAGAAAAATTTAAAAATAGCATCTTTACATCAGAGCGTAATTGGTATTTTTCCCTTCATTTTTCTTTCACTATTGAAATTTTTCTAGAAAAACAGTGGGAAGTAAGAGTTGAATGAATTGAATGAAATATGAATCAGTTGGTGCCCTCCTTCTTTTGTAACTTTTAAATATCTGAAGTTACCGGAGTCAACAATGATAATTCAGGTGATTTGTCCCTTTAGAAACCTGTCAATCCTGCTCTTTCAAGTGTCAGGGAGGAGTTGTGAAAGGCAGTCCAAGCTCTCAGGTACCTGGCATGGCTTTACCACTTCCTTCGTCTTTCAGATTTTGGGAATAAGGAAATGGCTACATTGTACCAAAAACTTCTTTATTATTTATGTATTCTTTGCCCATTTTAGTTAATAGGCTGTGTTTTTGCTTTTGGCAACGCCCCCTACCCATTTATGAGGGAAAAAAGTGATTGAGATATTACTGAGCTTTAAGTCATAAAGGATTTAGAGAAGGCATACTAGTAATGTTTGAGAATATTTTGTGCATATAAAACTTTGTATTAGAGATTCTATAAAAACATACACCCTTATTGGTATGATGGGATATAAGTAACATACTGAAGAACCAGTGTTGCTCATTTCAGGTGGTGGGGTGGTTGATTTTCTTAGAATAGCGCCAGAGAAGAGTTAGAGAATACAGAAAAGAGAGAGCTTTTATGAGATAATAAAAACATAAATCTCAGTTAAAAAAAAGTTACTGGCTTATGGAGAAGCAAGCATGTAAATAAAAACTAAAGGCCTTAGATTTGGATGGTGAGTGTGTTTGTTTGGAGTGGGGAGGCTCTCATATTTACATGGAAATGCTAGAATTGTATAAAAAAAGTAGTAAGATTAGGTAGGATAGGGCATGTGCTATATGCTGGAATGCTGATAACACTGGGTTTTGGCCTTAGTGATTTACATTTTCATTGAGCAGATATTTTTTAAGCACCTACTTCATGCCAGATTCTGTTCTAGGATAGATCTTATTGAAGACACAACAGTGATAAAAACAGATCTTGTTCTGATGAAACAGTGATAAGTAAGTAAACATCTGCAATATGGGAAGATAATAAATATCTTGACAGGCTAAGGGGAATTGGAATACCTGAAGGAGGAAAAAAAAGCTGCACTGGTAAGGTAGTTTTTGAGCTATAACACCTGAAAAGGTAGTGTTGTGGGCAGAAGGGACAGCCAGTAAAAGGGAGATGCTTGGAATATTGGAGAAGTAACAAGAAGCAAGTATGATGAATAGAGGAAGAGAGTGGAAGAAGTGATATTTACTGAGTTGTGTTCATTGTAAAGACTGGATTTTTTCTGTTTAACCTCAGCAAGGTGGGCAGCCATTGGAATGCTCTGAGCAGAGAGCACAGGAAGAACACCACCTGTGGAGGAAACCCTTCGGAAGGATTCAGAATAGACCTGGAGGGAAGAAGCAGGGAGACAAGTTACAAGTTTTTTGAAATTAATTGAGGCTGGAGATAATCAAGGGTGGTAGTGGGATATATTTTGATACATCATCAAAATGTAATGGATTCTGAACACAGTTTAAGGTAGAACTGAAGGTATGCTGAGAGATAGAAGGTGAGGTTTGAAAAAAGGGGGGGATCAAAAATGATTCAGATGTATTCTGACTGAGTGGTTTCAGAAGACTGTTAAGCTTTACTGAGCATTTAAAAGAAAAACAGTTAAAACAACTAGTTTTTTATTACTATAGATATACACTGTATCTTTTTTGTGTATGTTAAAGGGGTTTGAACTCAGGCCTTGGCACACTGGGCAGATGCTCCTACTACTGAGCTACACCCCAATCTGTTTATTACTGTACTGTATCACGAAAGGCAGCATGGCACAGACATGGGTTTAAGTTTTCCCTCTAGGGTTTTACTGTTGTATTTCATGCCTATAATATATATTTGCCAAAATTAGGAGCTTTCAGAGCCTTAATTTCTTCAATTGTAATGTGAGAATTATAAATTACTTTGTGAGAATTAAATGATTTAAAGTATGTAACAGAATCCTGATGCAGAATGAAGTGCTGAATAAATAAATGATAGCAAATACTGGATGTTAAATTTTTACTTGCTTATTTTCTTAGCCCTTAGAGAAAAATATAATCTTCAGTCATGAACTCTTCTAAAGTACGTATATGCCATCCAGGGACCATACAGGCTAACAATATTCTGCATCTGACTCTGGCACTCAGGACAATTAATAGGAATGGATAGTGACCTTCTGTATTTGTCTAAAAACATGAATTATATATTTTCCGTGCACTTACTTTCTTTAATAACCTACTAGCTGTCTGCTACTTTGGAACTCACGTTAATTTTTTAGAATGTAATTAACTTTGCTTTGTATCTTAGCAAATTATTCACATTTATCGACCATGCTATAAAACTGGTGCTGGGGCCAGGGATTTAGCTCAGTGGCACAAGTGCTTGCTTAGTAAGCGTGAGGTCATGAGTTTGATCTCTGGTACCAAAAAACAAAACAAAACAAAACAAAACAAAAGTCC